CCGCCGCTGACGTGCACGGTGGAAGAGTCGCTGGCGCCAGAGAGCAATGGGCGGGCGGGCCGCCTGGCGTGGAGTTCCAAGACGCCAGAGGGCCTGGAGGTGTATCATGCGTGGGTGGTGGAGGATCTCGAGGGCCAGCGTGTGCGTATTTTGACGCAAGAGAGTCAGATTGGAGGCATTTTTAAGGAATGGGAGGCTCGAAAGCCGAATCCTATGTTGTTGGGGCATCAGGATTGGCTGGATGGATTGATCACGGCTGCGAAGGGGAAGGAGGTGGGGGAGACGAATCTGGAGGCTGTGGGGTTCAAGGGATAAGTTGAAGGGGGTGGTGGGTTGGGGATGTAGCCATGGATGAATCGAGATCTTCTGGTGGGTGTCTGATTAACCAGTGCTCGTCTTGGTGCCTGAGGTGCTTGGTATTGTCCACTCATTGTATTGGGTGAGAAAATCGCGGTCATATGGTGCTTCGGAGGCAACCCAAGGTAGCCATGTGGAGGAATAGGGCCCTTGCGGAGTTTGGGTCCAGCACTGAGAAGGGGGGTTGGGACAGGGGATCTGGATGTCCTGGTAGGATGCAGTCTGATGCTGCTGTGGAGGCCCGAAAGCACGCGGCGTTTGAGCATTGTACCATGGGGCTGAGACTGAGGTTAAGGTAGGATCGGCTTCGTAGTGCATAGCCCATTGTGAAGGGGGCTCAGATTGCTGGAACCAGGGTTGTGGTGGGACTGAGGTGAGACTTGAGGATGGGCCAACACTGTGGTTTTCTTGGAGGTATGTGTTGAATACATATGAGGTGCGATCGTCGTGCTGTATAAAAGATGGGGATATGCGTTGGTGTTCGTTATTGGCCATCCTGCATTCAGGTACGTAACTAGTAGATGGCGAGACTACGTCCCGAGATGGTGGATCTGCTGCAAAGCTGCGTGGGACAGTTTCTTTTGGTGTTTGCCGTGTCGAATGATACTGCCTAAAAGGCAAGGGATACTCCGAAGCCAGCGATGGCGCTGCTGTATCATGGCTTGATCCGATATAATCGTTGGAATTCTCATCCTCGTTGGGCATTGACTCTACTGACGTGCTTATGAGAGTGGTGAAGTCAACTAGGAGATCGAGGGCGTTCATATTGATACAATCAAGAGATGGAGTGTGAAAGAAGCGATCAATCTAGTTCCGGATGTCTGCTAATATACGGCTGGGCTTGACTTGTTCGCCACTTCTCGAGTCTAATAAAGAGCTCAAATGTTACGCGAATACTGCTCGTACCGGACGGGTGTCACGTCTCAGTGCAATGTGATAGACTACCTTGGCCTTAATACATACTTTAATCATGTACACTGAAGCTTTCTCATTTTGTTGCACGTATGTGTTATAGGTCGTCATAAAGAATTTTTGTAACCAATGTAAACATTGTCAAAGGTAGAAAACCGAAAGGATTTTCATTACGGCGTCAGGCACAGAGTAGCGGAAGCGCAAAACTAATTGGATATCTTATCATCGAATATTAGTTAGATCGGACAACCTAAGCATGTCCGTTGATGACATGTCATACATTTTGTGAGATCGTGTGCGTGATGACGTGCCCTTGTTGAATGCATCAAGTTGTACGGCGCATTCCACACCAACGGAGCCACTCCGAGGTGTGACAAGGCTAGGTTGACCAGGTGACGCCCATATGATGCATGCTGCGTAGACACTCCAAGAAAGTCCTCGTCGACCCCGTTCTGAGAGAAATTGGCCTTCTGTGGTTGTAGTCCAAGAGTCCTTTCCTCGCGGCTGGGTCGCAGACTGCAATCCCTGGGCGCCGGCCGCTAGCGCGGGGATCTGTTGACACCCATCCCACCATACCCAATCCATCTGCAGCAAGACATGCGCGCAGCGCGACGCGTTAAATGTGTCGATTCGAGCTCTTGAGCTTGCTGATAGCCTTTTGCCAGCGTCTGGCGACGCGAAAGACACGAGCCCGCAAGCATACAGGCGACTTGCCATTGCCACAACCATGCTCCACGAACTCCTCCTCTCGCTCTCCGGACACCCTTCCCCGTTATTCGATGACCCTAGCCACGTGACCTCGGCCACTGATGGTCTGCTTTCCCCGTCAGAAAGAGAACTCTTGTCTTCAATCGGTCATCTATCCAAACTACATCGGAAGCTGCGTGACCACGCTAACTGGATTGCTGCCTCTCACCCTTCGATAATTTGCCGAGCAGTCGCCACTTCAATCATATCCCATCACCTTGAACAATTCCAGCAGAAGGTACTCGATGTTGAGAGCCGGGTTCTCAAACAAGATGCCTCCACAGTCGGTGCATACAACATTGTGCCGCTCGCCGGGGTGGTCAGCGAATTTTCAGAATGGGTTAGAATCATGGAGTGGCTATGGGACATTACCAACTACATGATCCCTGCAGAGGCCGCTACCAAGATTGAGAAAATGCTCAGCCAGTCCGCTTCTGGCGCTGGGATTATCGACAAGCTGCGAGCTGAGGCTCAGACAGGGTTTCCCGATATCGAAGAGGCTGCACATGGCCTAAGCAAGGTTGCAGAAACATCGTGGCTGCGACAACTATCGACATGGTTGTTGTACGGCCGTCTGCCCTCATGTCGTATTGACTTTTTTATTCAACAAGACGACGAAGATGCCGGGGAGCAGATTTTCATTCTACAGAGCAAGTTACTGCCCAAGTTTGTGACTAGGCAGACAGCTCTCTCCATTCTATTTGTTGGAAAGTCACTCAACCAGATCCGGTCGCTCCCGCCATCTGTAAAGGTATTGGCCACGATGAATTCGCTTTCGGAACTCGATCTGCTACCCAAGCATGTCCAACAACTATCTGAAGTGACTACACCAATATCAGTAGCGAAGCTGTCTGAAGCTGTCGCAAATATCCGGCTCTCGCTGTCGCGGAATCTACTGCAACACTTGCTGCCACGCGAGAAGATTGTCGAGACTTTGACTGTGCTGCACCAGTTTTTCCTCATCGGTCGAGGAGAATTCGCCTTGACATTGATAGCCGAGGCAGACGACAAGATGTCTTCACGGCACCGCAGTCAGTCAGCACTCAAATCCAGCCAGTCGGTAAAAGGCGTGTTGCTAAAAGAGGCGGAGATCAACCATATTCTCACGCGCTCTTTCTCCGTCCTTTCGACCTTGTCTAGCGAGGATGAGCACACAGACGACATCCTGGATGTTGCGACACAGCTCCTACACTTGAGCGTAAACAGTTCTTCTGGCCACCGTCCTGGAACACCAGGACGTGCCAAAGACGCCGACTCTTCGCTTCCACAGCTCGCAAATCTATCATTCGACGAGTTGCTACTATCTGTGCCAACATCGCTCACAATGGACATTCGATCGCCACTCGACCTGTTCCTGACAAAGGCCGACGTTGACGTCTATTCATCAATCAACTCTTGTCTACTTGCAGTTCGGCGAGCTCATCTACACTTGGCTGAATTATGGAGACATAGCTCAATACGGCGGGACTATCCATGTCCCCCGGGTTATCAGTACAGTAATTCCGCACACGGACGAGCGGTTCTCAAACGACGTCGGGAGCGCACTAAGAAGAGATCGCAAGATATGCGAAAAATATGGGCAACGTGTGCAGCAGCCATTTTCTTCTTGGCCGAAAGCGAGGCTTACTTTCACGGGACTGTGGTACAACAGACCTTCCGTCACTTCATTACTTGGGTTGTCGGCCGACAAAATCCGTCGTCGCAACCGCCTACGGCCCCGTCAAGCCGCCCTTCGTCATCGAGGTTTCGCAGGTCTATACCTGATGGCAGTACCAAACAGCATGACCCGGAAGCACTGGCATCGGCACATCGTCGCTTTCTTTCTTCAGTCGCCTACTCTCTTCTTCTGACCGACCAGGCCTTTACCAAGTCGCTTCGTACAATGTGCACTCATGTTGACGAATTAGTGGCGTATATCACGCGTCTCACTAAGATTCAGCAGAATTTGGATCTTGAGGAAGACGAGGGCGTGGAGGACTATGCGCAGAACTACAAAAAGGAGGAGCGAGATATCAGTGTTGAAATGGATCGCGCACGAAGAAGGCTGGATAGCGATTTGAAGGCGCTAGTAGACCGATTGAGAGAAATCGATAGCGAGAGGATTGGAGCTTCTGCCCCTGGTACCGCCACTTCTGCCACTATGGAGGAAGGGGCTTACGAACCACTACGGGTAGGAGGCATTGATCGTTTGCTGATGAAGCTTGACTGGGGCGGTGAGGATGAAGAAGGGGAGGAGGAGGTTGAGGATTTGTTGTAGCTTGGAGGTGGTCACCTTGCAATGAGTTTGGGGTCGAAGGGCGCTATCCCAGTTTGATAAGCGGGCTTGATCTCTGAGGAGACGATCAATTCCCCAGATATCTCATGTACTAGTCAGCACTATATGCACAGTCAACACTACAAATGTCTCATGAATACCTTCCATGGACTATCACATGACACGAATGTTAAAATCCGGAAAAATATATATATATAGCAATGACAGCATAGTACTAAGGTGTGTGTTCGCTCCAGGGCATTGTAAGAAGATCGAGCGGCTCGCAGTCAGCCTAGACTCACATGCATCATATTGTGAATTCGATGTCTGGTTCGAGTGAGCTCAAGTGCACAAGACACAATTCATAGCTAATTTATGAGATCGACTTCTTTCCAATTCAAGTTCAACTACGATGCCGTATTCGTAATGAAACTTGTGCACTTGGACTAACATCAATGCACTATTGTAGAGGCAGAGCAAGGACCGATAGTATTCAACCAAAAAATCTAAGAAACCAACCACACCCAGTCTTCATGGACGCTAGCAAAATGGAACCGAGGGAAATAGAATAGCTACAATAAGCCTATTACAATGAGCTTCAGCTATTGGTGAAGTTTACAAGAAATTACAACCATACAAGACCAAAATCCTTAGATCCACGAAATCCTTCCCCTAGTGAACAAAAGCAAAAAGAACAGACTCTTCTAATGAGAATAACGGCAAAAACAAGAGGTCGCACCCGGGTTCGAACCGGGGTTACCAGAAATTTGATTTGAAGAAAGTCAAAATCTGGAGTGATAACCACTACACTATGCAACCGTGGTTGTTTTGATGAGAGGAACTTCAAAAACATAATTTATATAATTTAGATAACATCTAGACGTACGTATGTACTCGATCGGTAGGTGGGCATCGTTCATGAGTCAGATTCAATGGTGCGGGGTCATTCCCACGATTGCGAAACGCTGGTCCTGATCTTGCTAGTGCGTGCCCCATCGCCCCTCTGGCATCGATCTTGCGTCTAACCACTACGAAGTGCCACTCTGCGTCCCTCTCACACTGCTATAATCACAAAATATGCAAAGTCAAAGTATCACAACTCTCGTCAGATTTTTCTACATCTTATATATTACTCGATTAACACACTTTTCTTCGTAAATCATCGTTTAAACATCATGTCCGCACGTAGCGAGGTGCTGTTCACCCTCTGCAGGCACCGTCCACAAGGGCTCGACGCCAATGATACCGCGCTCGGTAATGGTCAAGTTGGCGGAGCTCTTGGGGATGAGTTGCTCGCCTTTTGTGGCGAGGATGGAGAGGACGTGTGCAGCGGCCTGTGGGGAGCGTTAGCAATTTGCTCGTGAAAAAAAGAAATTCCACCTCTAATGAGATTGGGAGAGGTAGAGGGTGAAAATTCTACATACCTTCGCGTTGATAGTGAGAGTCTCAGGGTTCGGGTTATCAATCGTATCGCAGGCCTGGTGGTAGCATGGGTCCTGTTCCACGCCTGTGCCCGTATGCAGGCCACCGACGGGCTTGCCAATGTTCATGAAGGATTGGTAGTCGCTTCCGCCGGTGAACCTGGCCGCAGTGACATTGACGCCCTTGCTGGTCATGTGCTCAACGAAAAGCTTCTCGACGGTGTCGGAGCCCGGTGCGCCAGTTAGGTTGTAGACGCTGCCGTCGCCGTCGAAGACACCAAAGTAGCCGCGAGACACCATGTCGAAGTTCAGGTAGACGAGGATGTTGTTCGCCTCTGTGGCATTGAGGTGCTGCGTGTAGTATTTTGAGCCAAGGAGACCGTTCTCTTCTGCTCCCCACCAGGCAAAGCGGACCTTGTTCTTAACGTTGAATCTGCGGAGGGCGCGGGCGATTTCGAGAACCAGGGTGCTACCGGAGCCGTCATCGTTAATACCTGCTCCGGCTTGCACGCTGTCCAGGTGCGCACCCAGCATGATCACGTTCTCTGGGTCGCCATCTTTGGTCTCGGTGAAGACGTTTTGTGTTATGCGTTCTTCAACAACCTGGGTTTGCTGGAAGTAGGCCTCGACGGCTTCACCGGCAGTCAGACGGGCAACGAGAGGCTCGGCATCGGAAAGGTTGATGTATCCGGTCGACACGTATTCTGTTGGGTTGGGGTTGGAGAGAGTTCCGCCAGTGACATTGGCTCTGTCGCTTGCGTAAATGATAACTGCGGCTGCACCAGCAGCAGCGGCCGGCTTCATGCGTCCAGCAAGGGTAGTACCGTCTGGACATGAGCCACGCTGCACAAGAACAATCTTTCCCTTTACATCCAGATTGTTGTAGGCTTCTTTTGTGCAGCCCTCGGGCCCAGATGCACCCAGCACGAGAGGAAGCGTCAGACCTTCGGGTGGAGTAGATGGAGAATACGACAATCCAACGACACGGTACGAGGTATTGCTGACCTTGAATTCAATGGAGTCGACTCGGTTGAACAGAGCAGGGAAGTCCTGTGTCCACGTCTTGAAGTGTGTGTTTTGCGTCTTTTCAAGCATGTAGTCGACTGAGGCTGCATAGCCGGGAAGGCCAAATGCGCGATTTCCACCATTGGCTTTTGCGATCGCGTCGAAGGCTTTGAGATTGCCCATCAACCTACATTTTTGTTAACGGCGTCTTTTCAGTGCTGGGATCAGACGCACTTCTCGCTTGTGATCTGATCCTGAATAGCATTTGAGGAGACCATAGGACGGGGCCTGACAGCAGCGAACGCTTGCGCAGCGCCGGCAAGGGCAATTGCGCTTGAGAACTTCATTTCTGCAGTTCAATTCAACTCAACAAAGTATCCGAGTTTCTTGAATTCGTGCGTAACTCTTTGTCACTTTAAGACGGCGACGCATCTTCATATACACGATTTGCCTCAATGTCTTGGTAAAGACCGGATCGGTGGATAAATGAGCACAGCATCCCGTCCGGTCCACTCTTATCACGAGCGCGTCCTGTGCTGTGTCCGGAAAAGAAGGTCATAAGAATGTTACCATTCTTTGCCAAGGGGCCAAGGCCGAGCCTGAATTACCTGCCGAAAGGAGGTAAGATTAGCTTGGCGCGAAGATGGACACTGCCAGAAGGGTGGTTTTGGAGGCGGAGGAACCAGTGATCGAAGCGACTGTTCGGCATCGACGAACCGATGGACCGACCAAGGAGAATAATAGCCGTGGTTGCTTTTTCATTCCTGTTGACTAGATGTCGAGGCAGGATGTCACTATCTCAGCAACTCCTATCGACTATCTGTAAGGCTTTTGATAGAGGGAAAGTGGTACGAGCTCAAAGATAGGAACATGAAGAGCATAGCTTGGAACACTCGTGGGACCTAATTTATGTAGTACTTGCGGGCTACGAGTACCTGAATGTCAGTAGCCGATCTTAGTACAACGTTGTTGTTAGTATGGCCTCAATAGATATAAGAAGATGTCACATGAGTAAGATATCAATTCCGAAGCGTAAAAACAGGATAATTATCGACTATGTCATCTCTCACTGTCTAGCAGCGGCGTGCGCTCAGTACCTTCTGGATGTGCGTTTCCATTAGCTTGACCTACCGTTTGAGCTTGCTGGGCTTTCCTGTCCCTCAGAACGAAGGAGATGGCCATGGCTAGTAGGAATCCTTGTAAGATACCCGTAAAGATGAATAAGCCCCATGCACTCCAGCCGCCCGGCCCTAAGCGAGCATACAAACTGGCAGCAAAGACAAAGCTACCAGGTGTCTGAATACACATCATGGGTATCGAAAGACTGCCAGTTTCTTGTAGTTTCCAAGTCATGAAGATTTGAGGTATATATTGTATGGCCGCAAGCACAGTAGCGAGGAGTCCGAGGAAGTTTGCCCAGGCACGGACATGGGATGGGAGGGCGTACACGAAAACGACGGAGCCGAACAAGGCTACCACAAAGAAGGCGATAGACGCGCCGAGGACAAGCACAGCTTCTTTCCATGTCGGCATCTCGGAGTCTTGCTCTTCCTCTATAGCGGACGGATCTCGTGGAAAAAAGATGAGGAACAGTAGCATGCTAAGAGTGGCTGTTAGTAGTTGCGTGGATGCTATTGTGGGCTGTGGAGTCGTACATGAAGAAGAAGCAGGCCCACTGCACGCCTATCTGAACGATTCCTAGCATTGCTGCTGCACAAGGGAAACTACCGATTTCCCTGCAGCAGGCCATGTCTCTGGTGCTTTCAGGCAGTGTCAATATGTTGGCTATGCTGGCCGTGCCGGACACGGTGCCGAGCAAGACAAACATAGGACTCAGGCCCCGGGAAGAGCGTCGCGCTATGATCTTGTAGTGCTGCGGGAGGTAAGACACAAGGATTCCGACTACGATGAAGCTGTAGGACGTGGTGGTTAGCCATGTTTACTTTCGAATGCATGCGTGTGAGGCGTACACGGAGATGGAGAAGTTGATCAGGTCGGGGTACTGCAGCTCGGTGCATCGCTCGTCATGGGGATCCATGGCTGCAGAGTGGTATGTGTATAGTTCAAAGTAGTCTCTTTGAACTACATGGATTGTTTATTTGGTGTGGCTTCGGAGGCTGCGGGAGCGATATGTACAGGGGCAGTGAGATGGCATGGAGCGCGTGTGACGTACACGCGTGTCGGCAGGCAGGTGAGTGAGCTCCGAGCATGCCTCGGCTGAAGCGCGCGCACCCGTGCCTATCAACAACGGGGCCATGACACTGCAACACCATCAATGAGGACGCAACCAGACCGTCCGCCCATCTCTGACTGGGTGCCATGGAGTTCCTGCCCGCCCTCCAGCATGGCATAGACGACCTCAAGCCCTCGCTCTTCGAGCTCCTGTCCGAGCAGCAACTCGCCTCCCTGCTCCCCCCGTCGCTGCGTTACCTCCTCGCCGTCGCTACGCCCCGATACCCGCGATATCTACTGCCCATCCTCAATTCCTTCGATGAGGTCTATGCCCTGTTGATGCTGCTTGTCGAGCGCCATTTCTTGCGCACCTATGGCGGCTCCTTTACCGAGAACTTCTATGGCCTCAAGCGCGCCCGTGTGCTAAGGGTGCGAGGCGGAGAGATCCCACGCGCCCAGCTCGGTGCATCTGACAGCGTCAGAGAAGCCGTCAAGCTGGGCCGTGGCGATGTGTGGAAGAATCTTGCTGTTCTTGTCGGGCTCCCATGGCTTAAGAGGAAGATGGATGAGGGCTACGATGTACACGCAGCACATGCCAACCTGCTCGGTCCTGGTTATAACCGTGAAAGAGAAGGACTAAGAGCCGGCGCGACCATCAAGGAGAGGCTGATGCACTACTACAAGTGGTTTCTGCGGAACATATACCCCAGCGTCAATGCCGCATACTACTTCTCGCTGCTAGTGTTCAACATGGCATATCTCTTCGACGGCACAAAGTACCACTCGCCATTCATGTGGCTCATTGGCACGAGAATACGCAGATTGGGTGAAGCCGACCACAAGGCCATTGAGATAGCCACGGCTCCAAGAAATGTTGGCCCTGCGCGGCCCGGAGAAGGCGGATCCATCCTCTCGCCTAGGAATCTCGTCAGGAGTGTGCAGCCACGGCTGTTGAGCTCATTGAAGATATTGCTCCCCACGAGCATCTTTGCCCTTAAGTTCCTCGAGTGGTGGCATGCCTCTGACTTTGCCCGGCAATTGTCACGAAAAGCAGCTGAGAGCATTGACCTACCTCCCCCCATACTACCCTCGCTACCACCCTCAGCCAAACAACAGTCATCCAAGCAGGCCGCTGCCTCCGAGAAGCCACGGCCAACTTCCTCCTCCTCTGGCAAAACCCATCGGATTGATCCCCCAATTTCCTCTACCACTCTGCTTCCC